TCTAGACCTGGGGGCCACCCACCCAAGGAGGTCTGGGTATCCTGGAGCACATGTACACACTCAGATGCTTGACAGACAGCTGTCAACCCCACTAGCAAGTGGGCTGGGACAGAGACGGCCACCCACAGATCTTTCTCTAGAAAGCAGACCTGGGTCCTGACCCCTGGCCTTTACCACGTGGAGACAGGGCAGGGCCGAGTGCCTCCCACCCGCCGCCCCATCTTTGGGCAAGCAGACCAAAGAGAGAGAGAGAACCAAGAATGACAGGAGTCCTTATGCCCAATTTCTTTCTTTTTCTTCCAAAATCAACTTTATTGAGATATAACGTACATAAAATAAAGCACACCCATTTTAAGTATATAGTTTTACGAATCCTGACAAATGAACACACCCCTGTACCCACCACCATAATCAAGATATAGACAGTTTCCATCACACCTGAAAGCTTCCTCAGCCCTTCCCCACCCCCGCCCTAGGCAACCGCTCACCTGCTTCCTGCCATTATAGACCGATGTTGCCCATTTCAGTGTTTCGTATGAACACTGAACTTCTGTGTTTGGCTTCTTTCACTCATTCCTTTTTATTGCTGATTAGTATCTCATTGGTATGAATATTGGTATGATATACTAATATTTGTTTATCCATTTACCTGTGGTTGGGCATTTGGATTATTTAAAGAATTTTGCTATTATGTAAAAAGCCTAGTTTCTTCTTTTAATCTGGATGGATAACTCATTCCTATTCCTATGGCAGGGAGAGCATTGAGTACAGTGTTTCTCACAAGTCAGCATGCAACCGAGTCATCAAGGGGGCTTGTGAGGGCACAGATGCTCGTCACCATCCTCAGAGCTTCTGATTCAGTAGATCTGGGGTGGACCAAGAATTTGCATTTCTAACATGTGACGCTGCTGCTGCTGTCCCAGGGATCACTCTTTGGAAACCATCGGTCTTGTGGCATCTCGTTGGAAAACACGAGGACAGGGAGGTGAAGTGCCCCATAGAATGGTGGTGTACTTGTCATAAGCTTCATTTTTATACAATCCCACTCACTTAGACAAATATAAGCCTAGGGATGGTTTCTTCTAACAGCTTTATTGAGGTGTAACTTACATATCATACCATAAATTCACTTGTTGTAAGTATAAAATTCAATGATTTTTAGTAAATTTACCGAGTTGTGCAATCATCACCCAAATCCAGTTTTAGAGCATTCCTTCCCATCACTCCAGTAAGGTCCCTCATGCCAATTTATAGTTAATCCTTGTTCCCGTTCTTAGTGCCAGGTAACCACTAATCTACTTTCTGTCTTTATAGGTTTGCCTTTTCTGGACATGTCAAGTAAATGGAATCATGCAATATGTAGTCTTTCGTGTCTAGCTTCCTTAATTTAGCATAATGTTTTTGAGGGTCTTCCATATTGTAGCGAGCATTACTTCTTTCAAAAAAATGCTGAATAATATTCCATTTAATTGTAAAGATATACTCTTCAATTGTGTGAATATAGCACTTTTTAAATTCATTCATCTGTTCATGGACTTTTGGGGTTTTTTTTTGACTATGCTTCTATGAACACCCATGTACATATGTTTTCATTTTCTTGGGTATACACTTAGGAGTGGAATTTCGGGTTATATGGTAAACTTATATTTAACATTTTAAGAAACTGCCAAACTGTTTTCCAAAATGGCTGTACCATTTTATATTCCCACCAGCAATGTATGAGGGGTCCATTTTCTCTAGGTAATTTTTTTTTTCTGAGGAATACAAGAGAATTTGAGATCAAACAGTGGGCTGTGTGATGAAATATCTTCAAAATACTGTTCACTAAATACTTTAAGTGCATACACAATATTGTGGGGACAAGCTGTTTCTTTACACTGGTTTCAGTCTTGGCTGCACATTAGAATAATCTGGGGAGATTAAAAAAATCGTGATGCCCAAGCTACATCTCAGACAATTACAAGAGACACTCTGGGGGTGGGTGGGCAGGCATTAGGCCCTTACAACTCCCCAGGTGATTCCAGTGGGTGGCTGAGACTCTGAATGAAAACGTTTGTTGAGTCATTCACTGGGGTAATGAGCTAAATGGTGATGGCTGAAGAAAGACCATGTCTATAGGACAAAGTGAGTGAGACTGAGAAGTTTTATGGCTATAGAAGGAACAAAGGACGTACTGTTTAGCAAATAGGAGCTTCTATGATTATCCTCATATACTTTTTCTGGTCTTATTTCAACTTTTCCAGCCTTTTAGACAGTGAAGTGAGGGAGAGAAGAGCTAACTGAAGAGGGTGTATGGGGCGGGGCAACGAAAGATTTCAAAGGTCTGTGTGTTTCAGGTGGGAGAGACTTGAGCCGTGTAATGTCGAGAGACAACGCAGTTCAGCAGGAGAAGGGGCAATTGATGGGTGAGAGTCCACCAGGGAGGAGAGAGTGTCCAGGCCCAGGCAGAAAGACTGCCCAGAGACAGTTGTAACGGGGTAGACGTAGAGGACGGGACACACGGAGGCAGGCATCTTGGTTTGCTAGCGGGAAGAGGAGGGGATTCCCATCCATGTTTTGTCTTTTCTTTTTCCAATGAATTGCTATCTAAGGTCACCTTGCAGAAAGTGACTTGTGAGGGAAGGTGGGAGAGGGGGCTGGGCTGAATGCCTGAGGAGAGTGGAGAAGATTTGGGAGAGTCGTTGTTGAGTGAGAGAGCTAAGCTCACTGAGAAGAACAGCAGGTCTACTGGGCAGTGCTGAGTTGAACCATTTGAAGATACTTGTGCATTTACAGTGAAACTCATCTCCATTCTCTCTCAGCTCCTAGGGGCAGGCAGGAGAAGGCAGCAGTCAACTCCATCCTGAACCATGTGATTCCTCCACATATGTTCAGAAAAGACAGAAGGAAAAAGGACTTTAGGGTAAAGCGGGAGCATTTAAAAAATGGACTATAAAATCCATGCTGGAGAAGGGACAGAATAAAGGAATAAGCTGAAGGATAGGAGAAAGTAGAGGAGGCAGTGGGTTGGAGAGGGTGTGGGCAGAGAGGGGGATGCGTAGATGGTGTCGTTAGGCGGTAGAGACGCTAGGGAATGAGTGGGGGACGGCGGGTTGTCATGTCAGTAATGGCAAAACCCATGGTCTCCATAACCACACCTTGTCCTCACTCTGTCTCGCCCGAATCCATGACCACTGAAAAGTTTTTACTCAGGCCTCAGATGACCTCCACATCTTCCGATTCAAGAAATATTTCCCAGTCCTTACTTTGCTTGCTTTTTTCAGTGTTATGTGATACCGTAAACCAATCTCTGTTCTTGCTGAGGTCTCTTTCACTGGCTTCCAAGGCAACACATCCTCTTTCCTTCCTCCCAGCATCTCTGGCTCCTTTACTGGTCTCCTTTAGAGGTCCGTCTTCCTTTTCCTGTCCATTTTATTTGGGAGTTTCTTAGTAAGGTGTAGTCCTCAGGCCTCTTTCCTGCATTTTCTCTCTCCAGGCAACCTCATCTGTGCCTTGGCTTATATAACTACTCATCATCTTAGAAGTTTATCTATTTATTTATTTAATAGAAATACTCTTCTCCCATTCTCTACTTCTCCTGTTTTTTTATTTTTTAAGTGAAAACAAGAACTGTCCACGCTTAAACTGTGCTTTTTTGTGCTGTACAATCACAGAATATCAAACCATTGGGGGCAAAGTAGCATACTTTGGAGAAAGAGGGGGAAGCCATTTTAAGGACGTACCCCTCTCTCCTCCCCACCAACTTGCTGCAGTGATAGGGATACCTGGTGGGCCCCACGAGGCACGTTGCTCCTACCTCTTTCCCCCCTGAAGCCACCCAGCCACCCAGCAGCAGTCAATAAGAGGAAGGCTTAACAAAGTTCGCAGTGACACATGCTTACTCCCCAGAAGCTGTGAACGTGTTAGAAAAAGCTGCAAATCCCATTCTGCCCTGTTGCAGCAGGCCATCATCATCTGCATGATCAGATCACAATCTGACTACTAAAAGTGGTTTGCACTGTTTCTAGAGGCTGCTTTTTCCTGCAGACACGTTTTTCACGCTGAATAAAGAACAGGAGCCCTCTGGTGGTGATACGTGGAAAAATCTCACAAGCAGGAGAGATTTGCTTAATTTGGGTGAGGAGAATTCTCGGTTCTCTTGACTCCACAGGCCATTTCCAAAATCAGCCACGAAAAGTAAATCAGGACCATTAGCAAATATCTGACCAAGATGGTTTATACCCTCAACAAATCAATGCTTTTCGTGGTCAGGCTTACGTTTTGCCAGCCCCCGTTGCTAAACAGAGCCATCCATGCCTGATGATATGGACCACGGCCGTGGGTCTGTGAATCAGACCCATGGGGTGAAGGGTCTCGGGAGGCCCTGAATTGCTGTTTTAAAGTGAGTGACAGACCTGCCCTCCATGGTGGAAGTACTAAGTGCCATACATGTATTTACAGTTCACATATAAACAACATGTTGTTATCCAAATAACTCTGTGGGGAGGAGAGCTCTGAGCCAGTGGGTCTCATGAGTGTGAAGCTGGGCCCAGGGGACAGGTGAGTAGGGGACAGGTGATGGAACTTGGGGACAGGTGGGTGGAACTGGACAGGTTTGAGGCAATTAGAACGAAGAGGGTGGAGAGAAGGGAGTGGATGACATACACATAACGCTTGTGACAGTCCAAACTGACTCATCAAGCAGAAGAGTGAGAAAATCTAAGTTGCCGTGGCTGGGGAAGGCAGACGCAGAAGAGAGGGGTCATGACTGACAGCAGGCGCCCAGGAACCAGGATTCGGGAAAGGAGCAGTGCCTGACTTCTTGGGCCTTTTCTCAAAAGCCTGGCAATATCTATTCCTGCTTTTCATAAAAAATTTTTTGATATGCCCTATTTTATTGGCTCTGCTTTATATTATGTTCAGTTTTATGTTTAATTTTCTCTGCATCTGATAGCTTTTTAAAAGTAAACATCAAAATTTGCATTATTTTAAGAGTATGTTTGAAAAAGTTCAAAATCACAAAGAGATCAAGACTGTTTAATAGTTGCTTTTTTGATGGAAATCCAATCACATTTGCCTGTCCCGTTACATATATCATTACCTGGGTGAATATTCGCACTCCACTAGGAACATGATAAATTACAAAAGAGAGAAGAGAGGGACTTTTAAAACCACATTTAATTTTTAATACAAAATCTGTTGCACTATTACAGAAGTGACCCCTTCATGCACAGATAAATTTAGCATCTACCATGACGGAAGAGTAAAAATTATACTTTGATTGTTCTCCCAAAACATTGGCAAATTTAAAGTAACTTTTATCTCTGTGCTCTCTGATGCCCAGGCAAGCCTGTTTTGTCTTTTTTGTATTTCCAATAGACAGGTTGATCTGTGAAAAGTGAATATGGAGACATGAAAGTATTTAGGGCCATCTTTATCTGGGATTACTTCAAACTATGCTTTACCTATACATACCAAAGATGCCAGGTGACTAGGCCTACTGTGCCCTGTAGGCAAAGCTCTGAAGATTTCATCTAGAAACCTGCTGTCAATATGTAGAAAAGTTTACTATTTCAGTTTCACAGCAAAAAGGGGGGAAAAAACCCAAAAGGTATTTAAGTAGATGCTTTCCAAATCCTATGCATTGCATTAATTAGCTTACTTCTTATACAGTACAACATAAACATTGTTTGCATGTTTATTTGTATGTAACACCTATAAGCATATAGCATCTACACTTTAAGTGTATTTACAAATTCAACAAAATATCTACATATAAAAAGCTTTACTTAAAATTAAACTTGATGCAAGTTATGAGAAACCAATTTATTGGCAAATGAAACTGAGCATTCCTTCAACCATAGGTTGTTATAGATTTTCATATTTGGAGGTAAACCATTTGATAGATATTGTTTATGAATATGATAGAATATATATATATATTTATTTTTTTAACTGCAGATGGAATCCCTTTGACTGCTGGCCTTTTAAGCACTTGTTAGATTTCTTAGATTCTGAAATGTGTCCATAGCAATTTGCATACACATTGCTTAATGCTGCAGAGAGTTTCAAAAGCTCACATAGGTAAAGTCTTAGAGAATAATGTGTTACTGTTGGCATGCTGTTGTATCCTTTTAGTTGTGGAAAAACTTTCTGTTTTTAAAATTAATTTTCTACCATGTTGACCTCTTTCTTACTGAATGTAACTTGTTTTAACAGAAACCATAAAAGACCATAAAATCATCATGTGCTCCAGTTGGTGATGAAGCTTTTCTTTTTATACTTCTGGGGAAATGCTTCTTAAAATAATATGTTTTATTATTTTCATTTTCACATTTCCTTTTTTTCAGCATTGCAGTTTTCATTATCTCTGCTTTTTAAAAGTTACTTTTAGACAATGACAGTAATCTAGGACTCAGAGTTGCCTGTACCAGCCGACACAGAATGCAGTATGTTATGGAATGCTTATTGTCTGAAGGCACTGCATGTGTCTTGCCCTGTGTTTTCTGACCTAATTTTTGAAATTTAATTGAGAGATGCGTTTTCGATTCTTTCAGTATGGCACAAGTACCGAAATGCATTGTAATGCACATTGTTTATGCCTAAAAACAACTGACCATAGAGATGATGTAAGAAGTAGAACAATGTGCTGCCGTAATACCTGGAAGATTAAGAAGCCTACGGAATAACAGGAGCAAAGAGCAGGTGACAGAGTCTCAGTAAGCATCAGCAAGTGCAACTGTCATAATTAACTCATTTAGCAAGTATATACTGTACATAGTGTTCCTAACAGTCTCCCAAAAAGACTAACGACAGCTAGACATAGAGTCACCAATTTCACGACAATGTCCACAAAGACATTGAAGTTCTAGAGAATACTACAGTAACACTCTTGACAATGAGAACGGAATTCATACTCAGGGTTTCAGCTGAGGAGAGTAGAAATGAAGTATCAAACCATTTTTTAATAACATACATAGGTATGTCTTTTAAATGTGTAGCATTTTTCATGCATCATATTGAACTTTCTCTTGAAGAGGAAATAAAATGATCTGTTGATGATGCTGTATTATTTTTTTACCAGTTCTGAGGAGATCAAGAATACCCATTTTGAATGAAAAAGTATGCACTTTGCACTCTAGTTCACATCAACATATCGTTAACATATTGACTGAGTTATATTCTTGCTCGAACTGTTTTCATAATATTAACATACATCAGAAAAATACTTTCTGCCTATATGTTCACAGTATGAGGGCTGAAAAACAAGTGCTTAACATAAACGTTCTAGAGAAATGGAATATTGGCAAAGAGCTTAAAAATTAAACAAAGGAATTCATGGCGTTGACAGGAGAAGGTGCTTCTGAGCTTTCATTTCCTTCAGCTGGTTCTTTCTCTTTCTTACCACTGTATTGTCCAATAAAGGAGCCATCCTCATTGAACTGGCCGTTCACCCCCTCTCCGTAGTCAACTAGGCTGTCATCACTGTCTTCTTTTTTCACAGTCCTGTCTGAAGGTGTTCGACTTCCTTTTTTCAAAGGCTTGTGGTCTTCTGCATCACTGAAAAAAAAGAGAAAACACTTTCATCAAGACCGGCATTTAGGTAACATGTTTAACTTTTAAAGATCATGCATGCAGATTATAAAAAAGCATTTGGAGTCCTGAGCTTGTCTAGCCAAATCTAATTGTCAGGGTGACTCCAATGACTAAGATATGGCTGGAATGAAAATCAGGTGCAGGAATGGTTGAATCATGAAGTCTTCAGTAGAGTGGATGGCTTTCGATTGTGCATGTTAATTTCAATGACAGGTTCTGACTCCTGATTTGAAAGCAATCCAGAAATAACCACAAACATTAAAAAAGGAAGAATTGAGGGAAGTTGAAAATCATCACTATTTTGAATTCAAAAGGGGGCAAAAGCTTATGGCAAGTACAGGAGTTAGTATGTTAAACTGCGTAACATCTCTGATTCCTTGGATATGAATGGAACATGATTTTGGTTAAGTGTGAAATATGGATTTTTTTAAATTCCTGATCCAGAAGGAGAAGCAAAATTCTGATTTCAAATGATTTTGTTATCAAGTGCAGGCCAGACTTGTAAACTTCAACCTTACCTTTCAAGAGACCTATAAATCCCATTAAAAGGATGCAGAAGAAACAAATGAAAATAGCCTAAGAAGAAAAGCAAAATCCTTATACTGATAGTACACGGTATATATACATATTTTTCTGTAAGAATTTTAGATAATGGGTAAAGATTTATTAATTTGGACAGACACATTTTAACTCGAAAGCACTACATTTGATTATTAATGGCATGCCAATACACTCTGAACAGTGTGAACGATTCCAAACATGTAAAAGCAAACACTTCTTGAACTCTTCTTAACCCGCCTACTCCCCCATCTCATGTGCGTTTTGTGGCCTATCCATGTCGGACGGAAATCTGAAGAGTGGACTTTAGTAAGGTTTTACAGGACTATTATTATTATTTTTTCTTATTTCTCTGTTGAACCCCTAAGCACAATTTCTGGAAGTAGAAGAGTAATCATTATGTTTTAGAATACCTACCCATATGGTCATGTATCTAGGTATGCACATCAACCTATTTCTTATGAGGTAATATTTGGGGAAAAAAAGTAGAAAAAAGGCAATGGCAGAATCCAATATTTTGTTTTCTTTCAAAGAACAAAAAATGCAAAGTGAAATAGAAAATATACACAATATTAGTAAAAAATAAAAAGCCTAATTAAAAAAGAGGTTGCCTTAGCTGTAGCATTTCATCCAGCAATTTGTGCTAAGACTTTATTGCTCCTTCTGTTTTAGAGAGTGACTTCTCTTTCTAGCCAAGATACAAATATTGCAAGATACACACATATCTTGGCTCTTTTGCCAGTAACTTCTATGAGGGGTTACAATTTTTATCCAAGAAGAAAATGTCAAGTCTGGGAAATAATGCTAGCAATATTACACTGGCATATGCTATTGAAAATTACCTGTTTTAATAATACACAAGTTCTTGACATAAATGAAATAACCTATATTATCACCACTGCTAATAAACAATAAACAGTGGTGTCACAGAGCCTTGGATGGCCTGTGTTTGAGGCATTTCAGAGGACATAGCATTCATTGTCCATCCTCTTACAAAAACAGCTTGCACAACATCTTTGGGATTTGATCATTAACTTCTAAGCTTTGCTTGAATATTTACTGTGAAATATTGCTTATGACTTGGTGGGACTGTTAATTCTGCTGAAGAGTTCAATAATCAGCAGAATTTTGTCACCTGGATTCCAACTATTATTCTTATTTTGCTTTGTAAAATTAGTGTCCCAAAGAATACACTACAGGAAATTCTAGTCCTTGGTATTTCTTTGATCCAGCCATCTATTCACCCATCGCTTCATCCAATAAATGTTTATTGAGTGCCTACTCTAAGACAGATAGTGTTCTAGGCATTGGAGATATAGCAGCAAACAAAATAGACTAAAACCCTGATTCTAGTGGGGGAAGACAGTCAATTAACAATCAACATAATTTTAAAAATTAGATATATATTATGTCAGGTAATTAGTGCTATGGGAAATATAGAGCTGAGCAAAGAGGACGGAAGGTATCAGGGGAGAAGATGGAGGGTTGACATTTAAATAGGATGTCCAGGGAAGGCCTCAATAAGAGGTGACATCTGAGCAAAGACTTAAGAGAGCTGAGTTAGCCAGATGGATAGCTGGAGGGAGAGATAATGCGGGGGAGTAACAAGCAGTGCAAATGCCCTGGGGTGGGAGTAAGTCCAGCATGTTCTAGGAAGAAAAGGAGCTTGGTATGGCTGGAACTGAATAAGCAAACAAGAGAGAAAGAGATTAGTAGGGGTTAAGGTAAAAGAGGTGGCAGGACTAGACAGTGGCCTTGCAGGATGTTGTAAGGATTCAGCTTTTAACTCTGAGTAAGATGGGAAGCCACTGAAGGGTTTTCGAAAGATGAGTGACATGATCTAACTTACATTTTAAAAGCATTCTTCTGTCATCAGTGTTGAGATAGCCTACCCTAGAGGATGGGGGTTGGTAAACTACAGCAAACTTGGGCTATGCCCATTTATTATGTATTGTCTATGGCTGCTTTTGTGCTACAACAGCAGACCTGCAGAGCTGCAGCACAGACCACGTGGTCCATGAAATCTGAAATATTTACTATTGGGCTCTTTACAGAAAAAGTTTACCAACCCCTGCTCTAGAGAGACAGGGGAGACCATTGCAATAATCCAGGTGTGAGATGACTAATTATAACCTGGACCAGAATGGAACATGGGAGGTGGTACACAATGAAAGTAGCACCAACAGGGTTTTCTGATGGATTGGATATGGAATAACAGAGAAAAAGACGACATCAAGTATTTTGGTTTGAGCAACAGGAAGCTTGGAATTACCCTTCCTGTGGAATGGAGCATGTTTGGGGTGGAAGATCAGTGGTTCAGTTTTGAACATCTTCAAGTTTGGCCATGTCAGAAAACTACTCCTGTAAACATCCAAAACCGATGAGAACACTTTGAGAAAGTCAAATTACAGGCTAACCTCATTCATGAACATAGCTGAGAAAACTCCAAACAAATCATAGGCAAACTGAATTTATCAACCTTCTAAAAAGATAATACATCATATCCAGTTTGGGTTTTTTTCAAGGAATGCAAGATTATTTTAGCATTAAAACATCAATTCATATAACTCACCATTTTAGCAGAAGAAAATAAAAATATCTTATGATCATCTGAGATTCAGAAAAAAGGCATATGACAAAATTCAACACCTGTTCATAATGAAAATGTTAATACACTAGGAAGATATAAAGTATCTTCATAAACCCGATTAAGGATATTTATAAGAAACCTAGGGTGAATGTCATTCTTGACGGTGAGTGTGAGTGTTGAAAGCTTTCTGTTTGACATCAGAAATAGTAGCAGAGATGGCTGCTATCACCACATCAAAACTGCATTGAAAGGACTAAGCCATGTCATGAGAAAAATAATAGACAAAAGTAAGTTTCATTATTCATAACTGATATAATTGTGTATGTAGAAAATCCAGAAGAATGTACAGGCAAGTATTAGAATAAAAAGAAAGTTTAGTAATGTTGCTTAATGCAATATTAGCATGAAAGTCAATTTTATTCATGCTTTTCCAAACAATTGGAAAATAAAATCTAAAAAATTATTCCACTTATGATACTACAAAAGCATAAAGTAGGGCTGAGCCCGTGGCGCACTTGGGAGAGTGCAGCGCTGGGAGCGCAGCAGCGCTCCCGCCACGGGTTCGGATCCTATATAGGGATGACCAGTGCGCTCACAGTGCTCACTGGCTGAGCGCGGTGCTGCCGGTCTCAAAAAGGACAAAAAAAAAAAAAAAAAAAAGCATAAAGTATATAAGAACAAATCCAATAAAAATATATGTAAGACCTCTATAAAGAGAATAAAATGTTTATTCAGAGTTATTAAAGAAGATCTAAATAAATGAAGGGATATATCATATCTATGGATGGAAGACTCAAATATGGTAAACATGTCAACCTTTCCTACATTGCCCTTTATATTCAATTTATTTCCAATAACAGCCCAGCATGTTTTTATGTGGAACTTGTTGAGTTGATTCTAAGATCAATATGTAAATGAAAAGGGGGAGGAATATCTAAAAAACTCTTGAAGAAGAATAACGAAGTTGGAGGACTTGACCCAGCAGATATCAAGACTTATTAAGGGTGTATTATTAAGACAGCATAGTTTTTGTGCAAAGATAGACAAATTGACCAATAGAATGAAATACAGGGCTTTGAAACCGGTGGAAAATCTTTTTGTTGCCTTTATTCCTACATCATATTTGGTGATATCATAACTAGACTTGTTTAAAAACTTTCCAATTCTTGCTGATATCACAGAAATATAACTGACTTTAATGCTAATATTGGATGAGCAATATTGATAACTCTCTTATCAATTCTAATATTTGTAGATTCATTTGGGTTTTTATATACAAAATCTTATCAGTTATGAATAATGACCAGCCAAGAAGGGGCTCCCCAGAAGCATCCATTCATTTCAGCTCAATGGCTGTGGAGGGTGAGAATCTGCACCACACAGGCTGTGCTTGAAAGAAGAGAAGGAAGGAAGTGGGATACTCTGTCCAGAGTCTTTCTGGGAAAGCTGCTCAAAGGCAGCAATATCTTTTTAAGACTGATTCTTAAAAAGTGGTGTGATATAATATTGTACTTTAATAATTAGAATCTGGTTAAGTAAGGAAAAACTATCATTATTATTATAAGGCACAAGCACAGTGCCTGGTACATGGTTTGTGCCAGCAAATGTAAGTGTCCGACCCCATCACTCCTCTTCTCTACACTCCAGCCCCACCTCAGAGTTTTTTTTCATAAGAAATACCTTGTGCAACACACACACAACACACACACACACACACACACAGAACTTTCCAGATGTGATGAGTGGTTACAGGTCTGTGTGAAGCCCTGTATTAGTGCTCACCTTTTTTCAATGCAGAATGAATTTTTATAATGAAATAGTAAATAAACTGTTTTTGACATTGTGCCAAGGGAAGTTGCTTTGTCAAGTTTAAGTGTGAAAAGATAGTTTCCCAAATGAGAGGAATTAAAAAGTTATAGAAGACGATTTATGTCATATATGTATTTAGCCACATAGCATTCAAAGCTTTACAAAACACATAAAAATCCATCCATGTTTTTATAAGAACTTTTAAGGACAGGAGGTATCAGATGTTAAGTCTTAGCCCAGAATGTCCAAGATTCTATGAATTTCAAAATACATTATACTATAGTAAAGACAGCAACAAAACATATTCCTGATACTTATATTCAAGAATAAAGATCCTTGTGCAGTGGAAAGAAATGTTCACATCACTGTATCAAAACTCGGTCCTGCATTACTTCCTCTGGGATGACTTCCTGCACCATCCTCCGTCTGCATTGCCCATTTGGCTTCCGCTTCCTGCTCTGCTCCTTTGGTACCTCAGTTGCATCCCTTCCACAGCACTTCCCACACTCGGATCAAATTGTTCTTTTACTTCTCTGAATCCCTCACTAGACTATAAACTCCCAATGTGGGACCAAGTTCTATTGGTTTTAATATTTCCAAGGCCTGGCATACAGTAGGTGCTCAATAAATACCAGTTGAACGAATTAATGGTAAAATAGCAATAGAGGAGACAGTGGACATTTTAGAAAGTATTCAGAATTCTAACAAAAAAATTTCACTCCTTAATTTTATGATGGCAGACAAAGCATTGGACTATATTTTCCTCTTACACTAAGAATGAATTTTAGGAAGTTCAATTTTTTTCTTTTTTTTGTAACAGTACTTGGTTCAGGGTTGTACACACCCATTAAATGCCTACTGAGTAAAATTCAGCAACAGCAGATAAATCTATGATAATTATGTTTGATTTCCCTGTAGTCACCACTCTCCCATGGCCAAACTATGTGGCTGTTTTATTGACATTTGTGACCCAAACACTTTCTTCGACCCATTGTCTAAAAGTCCATCATTATTTATTCTGCTCACAAACCGGTTCATGTTTATGAGCAGAATAAATCTAAAGTATGTAACAAATGCGACACATCTCAGCATCATTCAAGCCTTATAAGTGTGGGTTAGCATGCTTGTGACAGGGCCATGTTTACATGAATGATGAGTCCCATGGCAAGAGCCTCCATTTATGCAATCAGTTATGAGTTCAAGTACCATGGGCATATGGTTTATGACCCAGGTTCATTCTGGTTTAAAAAGAATGGATCTAAAGAATAAAAAAATACTTACATAGTTGGTTGTATTGTTTCTCTGATTTTTCTATATGCTAGTAAGGATGCAGATCCTACTGTCTGTATAATTAAAGAAACAAACAAAGAAAGCTGCAGGCTTCCACCAGAGGGTAACTGCTTAGGGGTGGGTGTTGGAGTGAGGGCACAGGGTTATAGCATATGAAAAAAAAAATCAAATTTGGCCACCATTGAAATTCCGTCCTTCTTTGTACTGTAAAATATCCTCTGGCTTAAAGCCAACCATGTAAAAACAGTTCCATCCTCAGGCTGGAGAATGAGAAAATCATAAACAGAATTAATTTAAATTTAGGCAATAGTCCTAATTTTGTATATGTCTGTGTGTGACCAGCATAATAATTTATTTTCAAATGAAAGAGAATAAAAATCAATAAATAATACAGAGCTCAAAACTTCCAGAAGGTGCAAAGCAGAGAAAGGACTCTGGTGATTTAGAGAAGAAAATGACACTTAAATGCATTATTAAAAAAAAAAAAGACTGTAATAAACAGTTGGAACCGTTTTCATTAATTGTAACATCTAAGATAATAAAGGTTTTCTGATTTCTTTAAATAGAAAAGAAACCAAAGGGAAATAATTCTGAGGTAGTGTCAAGAAGTCACAGACAAAGCCACATCTGTAACAAAAAGGGTGGTTGAGAATTTGAACTTCCATCTTCATTAAAAAAAAAAAAATCACTGAGTTATGTTTAGAGTTGAAGACACCCATCAGAACCTTATTTCCCTTGGCACCTCCCAGATCAACGCCATTACATGTGTGACAAGTGATTTTGTCTTCAAACCAATCGGGCTTGCACTCAACAGGCCCAAATGAAAAGTCTTTCTCTCCTGAGAAGCTCTAGGCCTAAGCTAAAGACATACATTGGAAAATGCTCTATGAATTCAGCACGTATGAGTTCACACTGAGTCAAAGTAGACCAAGGAGATGCAGACACAGTGATTATGAGGCCAGTAACCAAACACTTGCTATGTATGTACTGCTCTGGAAACAAAATCATAGCTCATAGACAGCATAGAAATCATAGCACTACAAAAGAAACCTTCAGAGACAATCTAATATTTGAAAAACTGTCTCCTTTTCTAGATGAGAAAAATCGAGACCTACACAAATGAAGTACCATATCTAAAGAAATCATGGGTAATGGCTGAGTTGAAAGTAAAGCAGTCTCTCGATTCCCAGATTGTTCACAAAACTCAATTTTGATCAAGTTTTAATGGAGGAGTTAGCACAGTTTCCCGGAGGAAGTCACATGACTTCAGGTCATGGTTTAACATCACAGTAACAAGTTGATATTCAAGACCCATGAGGTGAGCAGCACATTGCCAGATTTATTGAAGCATGATAATGTAGAACAGGAGTCCATCACCATGTGGAGAATGTTTGAAGTGCAATGGCTTATTTTCAATCCATGCACATATATACTTTTTCCAGGCTATATTAGAGATTTAGCTTCATCACAGTAAATAAGGGAGTGGCATTATATCCTGTGTAGAATTATAGCCACGAGAACTTTAAAAATAAGAAGTTATGTAGCAATTATCAGTTCACCTGCTGTACAGAAAAAACATGTAGAAGAGTGAATTAAATCAGCGATTTCTACTCATCCAGTGTAAGACATGGCTGCCCTAGGCTATGGGCATCTGTAGGCTGCTCTCAGGTGTTATACAACCCTTTGGGTGCTGCGTGGAGGTGCTGCACGAGGTTTCCATGCACTTTCAGCCCCAAAGCCAACATCTCACATCAAGACAACTCTCACTAGACATTTTTCTGTACCATGACATACAAAAATTCTGAGAATTTTTAGGAGCCATAGTCATCTCTGTTGAAGAGAAGATCAGAATATAAAAGCTTAGGTGCTGAGACATAAAGGCAAAACACTTGCATCGGCATAGAAACTGGTATGAAAACAACTTTGTGGAAAACATATGATCTTTCATCAATCAGTTCTGTATTTCTCATCCTTGGCTTATTTTATTCCTCAGTTTATTGACATGAAAATACCAAAAAATGAGCTCTAGAGACAGGTAAAAATGAGCACAAATATCTTATCTACAAATGTCACCTGGCAATCACAAGAGTGAAATATTTTATTTTACCTAAAAGCCTTTCCTTCTGGCAAAAATGCCTCAATTTGGTCTCACTGCATATTTAAAAAATTATATTTTAGGGCCGAGCCCGTGGCGCACTCGGGAGAGTGCGGCGCTGGGAGCGCAGCAGCGCTCCCGCCGCGGGTTCGGATCCTGTATAGGGATGACCTGTGCGCTCACAGTGCTCACTGGCTGAACGCGGTGCAGCCGGTCTCAAAAAGGACAAAAAAAAAAAAAAAAAAATTATATTTTATATAAGCAAGAGGCTTTTTAAAAGAAAAAGAAAACAAGCTGCAAAAGAGCATTTTATAAATACGAGTATCTCTTTGGAACACCAGAAGCCCAATCTTTTATATAAATAAATATATATTTTCTTTTTAAAAACATATCTAAAACAATTACTTCTCTCTCTTTGAAGAGACCTATAACACCTAGCCAATAATATCATTGCTTAAAGAGGAGATTTTAAAAAAATTTACTACATAGATTATGTTAAAATTTTTCCTTAATGATGGATTCAAGCCAAGAATGTATTATCCAAGTTCTATCAGTTAACACCTGCCTAGATGGTTGTGATATTTCTTAATAATTAACAGCTTCTAAAACAACCTAGTATTATTTCATGACTCACGAACAGGGGTATAAGTACTGTTTAAGAAAAACTAGCTTCAAATCTGAGATTAAAAAGTCTGTTAACACAGGCTTTACAAAAGCACACTTAGAAAATAACAAGCATGGTTTCCTTTATAATGCAGGCTTTGTACGATCTTTATTGTTTTAATTCTCCAGCTTTGCTAGATTGATCTATACAGTAAGGGACCCTGGAAAATATGACAGAGTGGAAGATACTCTGTCTCCAAGCCTATGACTAAGTAGAAATTTATTTTTTTAATGAGAAGTGAGAATGTTTTACCCGTGAGGGAGATGTAAACATTAAGGTATGGAAGTGTTTCTAAACTTCTGTTTGAGGAAAATATGAAATGCCAGGCAGCCAAGTCCTATTCTCAGGAGAGTGTTTGGGTAGAGTGTCTGTGTGGGGCAGGGAAGTGGAAGGGTGGATGAGAGGCAGAGGCTCACCTGTATTCTCCAAAAGTTCCGTCATCTTCTTTCATAGGCTGGATCTCAGGATCAGCATGGGCATCTTCCTTTTCTTTAACTAAAAATTTCAAAATGGCATTATTATCCATTGATTCTGTGCTTCTGCATTCAAAGTTTAGAAAAGCATATTCTTTGAGATATACAGCAGTGGAAATTAATTCTATGCACAGGTAGATGTTGTATAACCATATACTACTGGCCCTCTGCATTTAAGGATTCAACTAAACATGAGTTGAAAATATTTGGGGGAAAAAAACCAATTGTGTCTGTACTGAACATGTACAGACTTTTTTCCTTGTCATTCTTCCCAAAACAACACAATATAACAACTATTTACTTAGCAATTACATTGAATTAGGTATTATGAGTAATCTAGAGATGATTTAAAGTATATGAGAGGATGTGCATAGGTTATATGCAAATGCTACATCATTTCATATCAGGGACCCGAGCATCTGCAGATTTTGGTATCCATTGGAGGTCTTGGAACCAATATCCCACAGATAGCAAGAGATGACTGTACATTATGTGGCCATGCATATATTTTGATGTTTTAGTCATTCCAAAGCAACCTAATAGAATGGACATTTGCTAACACCTAACTTTGACTTTAGTCTCTTACTTGACTGATGAAGGAATAATTTTTAAGACTCTGAGATTTCCCCTCTATTTTACCCACCTATTTATTAGCTATATTAATGGTTACAAACTGTTTTTGTAAATGTATTCTTTCACAGGTTTTCTTGTAAAGGAAGGGAAAACAGTCAGGTAAAGAAAATACAAATTCATTTGACCCACTAAATTGAATAAACCATTAACCTTATACGGAAAGCAATGTTAACCATTACAATATCAAAATTTGTTTCATGCATTACTTCCTCTGGAAAACTTCATGCACCTCCCCTCCCCTCAATTGGGTATCCCTAACTTATATAGAGCCTAAGGAAGCAGGATCACTAATGCCTTCAGAGAACAGATTCACTCCTCAAAATTCCTTATGATCTTGACAATGTTTAGGTTGCCGTTATATAAAAAGGGATCAAAAACTGTTTGAATAGAAAACCCAAATTAATGGCGTTGGGAAGATATACTACTGCAATCGAATGATTACCCTCATGATTTCTTTTTAGTTTAATGGATAAAATTATGCAGCATTATTAAGCAATTTTAATCTTTCTTTCTTACCTGGATATTTACCACCCTTGTTTCTTCTGATGAAGCAAACAATCAGCAAGATTAAGATAAGGAGAGCGACGGCACACATTAGACCTATGAACCAGCCCTGAGTCGCAATATCCACCTGCCGGCTTGCCATTGCTGGAAAACAAATCAATGGTGTCAGGAGGAATGGGTCAAGGGGAGATGAGAATGGTTGTAGTCGGTTGCAGTGAAAAATCGCCATAGTATATGAGCACTCATATATTTTACATGTGGCCCAAATTGGAATCTGTCAGTTATCACTCAGGAATTATATAACTACTTAACTTTGAAAAATCTTCATTAATTTTTTAAAAAGTCGAATAGAGGAATCTGAATGCTAATAACGTTAAATGCTACCAAACCCTGCTGAGCATTGTGTTCACAGTTATTTTGACTATATATTCTCAATAGAAACATATTCCTAAACCAATGAAAAAATTTACTGTTATAGGTTAGATTGTACACTGTTAAGTACAATGAAAAGAATATAAAACTTAGTTTTAAACAGAGCAGAATATATACATCTAATGGAGTATTTTTCCTTCAAAGGAACCACTTTTGGAGGCTAAAATGTCATTGCAATGCTGCTACCATTTTTCAAAATGCTTTGTAAATCTGCTAAAAAAGAAAACGGTCCATACAAGAAACCTGTCCATACAAGAAAATTAGCCATATTATTTTATGTAACATCTAAGTTTGCACCCAAAATATTACTTAGATTTATTATTCATCTCATTTACAGAAGTTGGTACTGAATGGAAATTTCTGAGAAAGCAAATCCACCCTCAAAGTATCAATCTTTGTTATTGCTTAGACTTTCAAAAAGACTTTGAAATATATCTTCATCAGTGGAATCATTATTGGCATAAATGGCCAGTTTGAAGAGAAAATACTCATTCACATGTATACATATTCTTTAAGCCTTCATCTATTCTGTTTGAGTAAATAAACGTGAAACCCCTATTCAAATGGTAATAATATGCAAAACTCCTAAGACCACAGAATAATGAGCATTTCTGGTATTACTTAAAAGTGTCAATCATATGGGACAAAGTGCAGCATCAATGGCTATTCAGACATGCCCATGCGGATTTGTTGAAATAAATTGGTATGAAACCTTTTTTAAAAGGCCTTTATTTTTTCTTTTTTGACCATAATCAAAGTAAAAGGTTTTCCTCTTTTGACTCCCTAAGCATGCCTGTATCATGCTTTTAATTGCACTGAATTTCTTCTGAATACATTTCACATGGTTGGGTGAGATGTGTGTGATCTCTGCATGTGGAAATAAGCATAGCTCCACGTATCCCAGGATCTGCTGTATGTTGCAAAAATGGCATCTCATTGTCTCTTTGTCTCCATACAAAGTATAGTGAGAAACATGAAATGCTTCAAGTCAAGTGTGAAGAGGAATTTTATAAAATGTATGGAAATATGTTTTAAGGAATAAAATGAGAAGTGGAAATACATTATCTGGAATGTAAATCGAAGGTCAGTAGCCATTCCCCAGGAGCCCCCCGTGCCTCACTAGTTAGAGGGTCTTGAGCTCTTGCATCATAACCAGACCCAAGTGAAGCACAAGTGTAGGCCATTTCCCCTCCTGTACACATAGCACAGCCATGATGATGATGATGACGATGAAGACAATGGTAATAACAGTGACAGCTAATACTTTTGGACCCTTACTATTTGCTAGGCACTGTGCTAAGGACATAATCTCATTTAGTCCTCACAACAATCCTTTGAGGTAGGCATTGGGAATAAACTTATACCCAGAGAGGGTAAAGAACTTGCCCAAAAGCTGGAGTTTGACCCATGTCTGTCTGGCTCCAGAGAACATGCTTCTAGCCACTATGTTCTACTGCTATAGTACGTTCCTGGAAACATATCCAGACCTCAAATCTGCAGAAGTCTGAACGAAGAATAAAATGCTATAGGGACTTTGCATTCTGAGACAGGTAAAAGTGTTTTAAAAATCATTACAAACTCTTTGGCAATATATTTCTATCAATTCACACATGGTCTTTGTGTGCTTTTTCTTCGAAACTGAACCAAGAACCACATGGCATAAGTCTCTTGAGCATTTGAATGAAGTTAAGGAGTCCTTGTTTTTAGTATGTTTAATGATTTATAGGCTTGTCATAAATAGGCTCAGCATTTACATTTTCCATCTAACTAAACACAACTGATAAGAAAAAATTCAAAAAGATGCTTAAGTACTAGCACAGACATTGTCCTACAAAGATGGTGATTGCCCAAATTGAACTGCTGGCTGGCACATGCAACTATGCAAATACTGGACATGTTGGTTTGACAGTTGACAAATAAATATCTAAACTGACTCTGAATTTTTGCCTCTATGTCTAAAAAAAAGTATCAGATATATCACTGCCCCATTATTATGATTAGGCAGGCAAAATATGTTAATAGGTGCATATGTGTGCACAGAGAAAAGCTCGACATATGCCTTCGGGTCACCATCCGTCCGATCTACTACTCCGTAAGTACATTACCCTGTAATAAAGTTCTTTGTTTTATCTTTTTTTTTTTTTTTTTTTTTTTTTTTTTTTTTTTTTTT